GGTGCCCCCGCAAATATCTCCCACGTCTTCGAACGTCAATCACGTCGGTTTGCCGTTATGCGCGATGAATAACGGGGCAAACGGGAACGCGTTGGGCAACGGCACGGCTATCGCGAGCACGTCGAGCGGGATCACGCACAACCAAGCAGTGATCACGTATCCGTACAATCAACTGTTCACCGGTTTCGCCCTCTCGCAATTATCCACCACCGTGATCGCGGAAGATAACGGTGGCGATAATCAATTGGAGCGGATAAAGGCGAACACGTTGATGGATTACCTGAGAGCGATGGACGAGGAAAGAGTGTCGGGCGAGACGGCCCAGGATCTCGTCGTCAGATGTCCTAACGGGAACGAGGCGTCGAACGGCGTGAACGGGACATCCGACAGCGGGACGTCCAGCATGACCGAGGTATCAATGGAGCCGAATTCGATTGATCATTTGAGCGTATACACGGACGCGCGAATCGCGCCATTGGATCTCAGCAAGCCTGATACTCAGTCAGCCAATGATTGCTCGGCCGTTGGAAAGCCCAATTCGCCCAAAGTGACCGGTACCAGCAGACGAAAGGGGAAGGCGGTGAAGTTGGAGCGGAGAGTGCTCGAGGAGGACACGGACGACGAGGAACCTCACTCCTCCCAACAGCAATATCAGCATCGTCAACACCAGCAGCAGCAGCAGCAGCAGCAGCAACAACAGCAACAGCAGCAGCAGCAGTTACTGCAGCAGCAGCAATGGCAACACTTGGTGGAACAGTTGTACTCGCAGACGCAACCGCATCTGCAACAACATCAGTTGCTCCAATTGCAGCAACAGCTGCAACAATTGCAACAGTTACAATTGCAGCAATTGCAGCAACATCAACTGCAACATCGCGCGTCAATGGAATCGGACGGATCATTCGAATCCTCGTCCTCGAGCAGCCCGAGTTCCGGCGAGGGAAAGGACGAGACGAACGAGCGCAACTTCGCCATAAGCCACGAGCTCACCTGCCATTTCTGCGAGATCGTATTCGGTAACGTGATCATGTATACAGTTCACATGGGCTATCACGGCTTTCAGGATCCTTATACGTGCAACATGTGCGGGCACCAATGCAACGACAAGGTGTCTTTTTTCCTCCATATTGCCAGGTCGAAGCATTCCTAGATTTAAGGATTGATTAGATTTCGCGAAGTATATACATATACACATACACATACACACATATATATATAGAGGGGATCTTTGAGACGAATCATTGATTGAATCGTCGAACGAGTCAAAGGTTTTGTCTTAAGAAAAATTGGGTATTTTTCCCATCAAGATGAGAATTTTTGAGTTTCAAGAGTGGCGTCGTTCGACCATATACAATTGATCACGAGAAATAGGGGAGAGATGGGAAGGTGAGGAGGAATTCGAACAAGGATCGAGGATCGACTCCGTAGCTATCGTTCACTTTAAAAGAATACTTATACCTCTTTTTTTAATACGCGTGGATCGTAATCGGAAATATATCAACGCGTGTACAAAAATTTTTTTATATAAACTCGTATAGAGATTATATATATAAACACGACATTACATTATATATATTTTCGCAGTAACGAAGATAAAATTTATCTCGCGGATATCGAATTTTTCAAAAAGAAAAAAGAAAAAAAATTCGTTGGAAAAATTGATGTCCGATCGATATAAGATTTGCTGGAATGAGAATGAAAATTTTTCAGTCGTCTAACTGAAAAGAGCTGAGTAATACGACGCGCAAGAAAATGAAATATTTTTCCAATGTTTTTTATAAAATTTTCTATATACTATATATGTATACTCGTTATATTATTCAGCTCGAAAAGTTCCTAGAATTTTATTTTATTTTCTGGGAGGATTCTTGTCCCAGCAAGTGATTCCTACCGATTCAATATCGAGAAAAAATATGGATGGATGAAGGTGTAGTGAAATGCTCAATCGTTCCGATTCCATGTTAAATGTCAATTAAAAAGAAAGTTGATGTTAACACATCCGACCAAACGTAGCGAGATTTTACAGATTACCGTGACGATCGATTATAATTACAATAAAAAA